TTTAAAATGCTAACATATCAATTAAATAAATACAAATTTATAATGTATGCGCTTAAAAGTTAGAATTGAACTCTCATGTAGCTGAAACAAATAAGATTAAATCTAAATCTGATGAAAATTTGTAATCAAAAATCGATTGGAAAAAATCTGATGTGGTCAGCACATAACCGATCGTAGTGTGTATTGTCTATTTAAGTGAAAGTGTTACAGAATATTATAAATACCTCTTTCCAATTTTTAGGACATTAGTAAGCTTAGTTAACATACCTAGAAAAATGTAAATTTGGCTCTTAGTAGAGTTTCGCTTTGTGCTACCCGAATTCCCTGAAATGCTCGCTAGTTAATTTTGGTAAAAACCAGAACTCAAATATCAAATTTCAAGAAATTCCATCAATTCGTTCCATAGATATGGTGAAAAATGTAAAATCCGCTCGCAGATCAGTTTTCGAGCCCTGATCTTTCCAAACAATTTATATGTTCATTGTTTTAGTACGAAAAATTTAAATATTAAATTTTAATGAAATCGGTTGATTATTTCTCTTTATATACGGAAAAATGTATAATTGGCTCGTAGTAAACGTCTAGTTGCTAACACCTGATTTCTTTCAAAAGTTAGAAGGTTTCGCGGACGGTCGAGCGAAGTTTATGTTTAAAAGTTCAAGTAAACGGTTGAATATTTTCTTCAAAATGCTCAAAAATGTAAAACAGGCCCGCTAAAAAGTGCAGCTCTCGAGGACTGATATATCCCAAAACTTGATCAATCCGTGCCACAGTCGAAATAAACTTACATATAAAATTTCATCAAAATCGGTTCAGCAGAACTTGAGATATACGGGTGCACACACAGGCCGACAGACCGACAGGTTGCTAAAAATAGTTTATTTATACTTCCCTGCTATGGAGAAGCGTATTCCCATTGAAAACTCGATATGCAAAATTTGTTGCCATCACATAACCTACCTATTGTGTACACAATACGGTCGGTAAATATGAATATCCATTGACATCATCGAATATTCTCTCACATTTTTAAAATGAATAGTGCAAGCTAAATTTTTGGTTTTGTGAATTTCCCGCTGTAAGTGTATAGAAATTTTGCGAAATATGCCGCAACATCAGCAAAAAGGGAATCAGACCGACGTGGCTAAATTGATTTCCAATTCAAAGAATTGACAAGAAATATGTATATGTAGAATGGGATCGACAACGCTTCCTTCCTGATATTAAACGTGTTGTGATAATGTATACAAATTACCAATTTCGTGCAAATCAACAATTTTAGTTTCAGTTATGGAGTGATTGAAGATCTTCAAAAAGATATTCAAAGTATGAATGAAATTTCTCTCTGTATTTTCGTACGATATTGTACTATCACTGTATATCCGTGTATAAAATCCATACATGTTTTCCTTGATAAGTGAAATATTTTGTTATTTGTTTTTTTTTTCCTTGAATAAAAAATATTTCAAACAAACCATTTTTTAGTTCATCATGTTTCATCCTTTTATTGAAGACAAGAAAAAGATTGGCATTCTTAAAGACTACTTTGTAGTTATGGCGATAAGAGCTCAGCAAAAATAAATTATCTATTCCTTACTTTATATTTATAACTGTACATGTATATATGTATGATTATATTTTTATACGTACTACATCATAATTTCTTATAAACATCGATTTTTTTTGTTAATTTTCTTTTTTTTTTTTATATCAGGTACAATACAAAAGAATGGTGATGTATTTTTCAATTAGTGTTGCAATATTATCAATGCATAATAAATATGATCTATAGATTTTGGAGCAATAGTTGGACTGATATTAACTAATTAACATAAAGTAAAGTAAATTCAAAGTTAAATTCAATCTGTACTGGCAACGCCTGATGTTATGCAAGTATAATGTTATGTAACAGTTATCTGACTTTGAAAAGCATAACTTTGCACTCCGAGAAGAAGGTAATATAAGGGTTTACAATTAATATATTGTAACAGGCAAGAAAAAAATGCTCTATATAATTTTAAATAAGAAAATCCCGAAGTTTAATTGTAAAAAGGGTTTAACATATCTCATTTATTTCCAAAGAATGAAACTCCAACTAATTTGCTAAATTAATATCGACAATTTTTTTATTTCAAGAATTTATTTCATATTTATTCTATCACAATTTGATTTATTGCTTATTTATTTACTCGAAACTCTTTTTTTCGCCTTAACAAATTTTTTCCTTCAAAAAATCGAAATTATATCGGGTATATTGTTAGATATATATTTTTTTCATATATATATATAATTAGTTCTGAATTTCGAATTATAAAAACTTAAGCTAAAGAATTTCGAACCCTATAAACATTCCATACTTCAAAATTCAAACGATTTACCTTAATGCCACTGTTATATGAATTATATGGCAACACTAATACAATGTTTTGCCGTGAATATGTATATGAATACAACATACATATGTATATATTTTTATTTTCAACATAAACATTTTTGCATTCATAAATTATGATAAGCATACATACATATGTATATACATATATATATATTATGTAAAATAGTTGTTTATAATAACAATAGCTACAATCAAACAAATGTATAAAGTGAAATTATTATAAAACACGGGAATTGTTAATAGATAAAAAAAATTACAATATTACAAAGTTTAATCTATTTGAAGTGGTAAAAAATAAGTAAAAAGGAAAACTTTAACTGTATTAAATGCTCTTTTAATGCAAAATTAACATCAAGTGTAATTTGCAATGGAATTATTTATGAAAATCGACAATCAAAATCCTTTAGGTATGCATAAAGTTTTTTGAGAATTCGCACAAATAAATGAACTTGCGTTACTTCTAGAAAAATAAAATCATTTGAATTGTTTAATTCCATTAAAAATTTTAAAATTCTTAAAAATTTAAATTATTTTTGATAACATAATATTGCAAAATCTAGAACTGTAGATCAAGCAAAATTTAAAGCATATACATAAATTATTTGCTCACTTATCAAGAATTACCGGAAAATGAGAAAAGGCGAGCTTGTCTTTGATTTACAGTTATTCATTTTGTGAGCAATTTTTCAGAACATAATATTATTACCACAAGTTTAATTTATTTGAAAAAGTGCAGTTTAAATAAAAATTACAAAACTTAATATCACATAACTTTTTGCTTAATTTATAAGTTGCAAAATATTTTAACGCGATTTAACAATTTATTAATTTATAATTTTAAAATTTGACTGGAGTACATGTTTACAAAAGTTAAGTCAATAAAATAAGGTAAATATTTTTAATGAAAGCTATGATCTAAAACTGTAAAATAATATTTGAAAGTAAAAATCACGATTTTACTGAAAATCACTGAAAATAGCTTAGTTTTGAAAAAAACTAAGCTATTCAGTGAAGACTAAGCTTAGTTTTGCACACCTATAGAATCTACATTTTGACACTGTATGTGTATGGCTAACATGAACAAAATAGTCACTTCTGTCCAAAAAATAAAGAAAATTCAGTGTTGCGTCAAGCCAATGTTTTGTAAAGTACCACTTATTTATGTTTTACTTTACTTTAACTCCTACACTTTGATTTTCACATGTAACCAAAAATTATTCACAAAAAACTATTGTGTATGTATTCTTATTGTTAGAATAAAACCTATCAATACAATTATTGCATAGCTTTAGGATTACAACAAAAATTTGCAAAAAAAGGATCAATGTAATGATAGCCGTATTTTTGTCGGCAAGACATTTAACATTAGTTTAGTGCTGATTGCAGTGGAACTCTATCTAAGCACTTCTATTTCCAATTTTGTTAATCATGCAGCAAATCTTTGAGGCTTTTTCGGGCCTTTCTATAAAAATATTTTTATATCTTCAGACAAAATGATTTCTCAATTTTAAATAATCATTTTTTTTTTTTGAAAATGGAAATTTCCCAGTTTTAAGAAGAGTTCTTGATATTATATTATTGTTATTGATAAAAACAAATTAAAAATTTCACAAAATAAAGTTGTATGTGTATTTTTTTATGTCAGATGCAATTTATGAAAAAAAAATATGAAAAAATTTCATTATTATTTTTTGTGTTCAGATTTAATAAATATTTTAATGATCTTATTGTTCACAATAACTTCATAATAAATAATAGTTGTTTTTTCATATAATGAATCTTATATAATTAGTGATTTGTTCACGTATAATCCTTAATAAGAGTTATATAATTAATTCTGTTGATAAAAAGCATACTCTATAGGATGTACTTGAAAATTTATTTATAAAAGTCAATATTTTTATTCGAAACTTATTTTAGCATAAATTTATAAAGAAAATGAAAAACGTTCATTAAAATGGAGATTAAGAATTTTCGTTATTTCTGCTGCAATTTCAATTGGAAATAATAAAATAAAGGTATGACTGTGATATTTTAGATATGTAAATCATTTATTAAATGACTTTGTACTGAAAATCTCGGGCGAAAACATGTAAGTACATAGGTTACTATTCAATAATCGTGTCGCATATAGATAATGGAGGCACTCAGATTGTAAATTCCACATTTTACAATCAAGTTTCTAATTGCATTTCTCCATGTTTTCGGTTTGTTAACAACCAAGTCGTTGATCTGTCTTTTCTGTACATTCCTGTATATTAATTTCCATATATGAGAGTTTATTTTAAATGATGAATTTATCAGTTTCTAAAATGAATTAGATCTTTAAAGAATATTAGCAGCTGGATATTTACTACTTTGATAATTTTGATAATATTTAAATAATAAACCTGTTTCTATGAAATTTCTTATTTTATGCGAATTCCTCACAAAATTCAAAATAAAATTTGCGGCACGGAATCTAGCGTAATGATGTTAACATCATAATTACATTTCCCTCATTTATCATTTTATAGTTTAAAAATTCTTTTACAAATTGCAATTTAAAATTTTTTACAAGAAATAACAGCAAAATAAATAAGTTTTAAAAAATAAAAGCACTTACCTTAACCAATGACGTTTAGTGATACTGGTATGACAACATATTGCATCATATTGATCAGCAATCCAAACAATTAGAATAATATAAAAAGCTGTTGTAGTATCGTTGAAAAACTCGGACATGATTGCTTCCATTCCTTTCAAAGAGAAAAGAAATAACATATTTTAAAATTAAATTTTAAATTTAAAATATAAATAGTATGTAATTATAATTCAGAAAACAAAATAAAATATTATTTATTTAATTTGAAAACTAATTCTCATGTTTCTAAAAATAAAATTCTAAAAGGAAAATACAACACCAAAAAATTCCGTAAAGAAAAAAAACATGAAAAAAATTCCGTAAGAATTTTGATTTAAAGTTGGGACCAATATTAGGTATACATCACTCCCTAATGAAATTTCTCTGTATGAAGTACAAAAAAAATTAAACGCAACAATTTATATGCGTCTCAAAAAAAAAAAAAACAAATAAATGAAATATTTCTACAAAAAAAAACATAAATTTGTAATTTGTATCCTATTTTATATTTATTTTACCCTCAACATATATACACAAATATATGCATGAACAATGTATAAAATTCCAATAAAAGGTAATCTAATATGTATGTGCAAATAGATATATGTACATACATATATGGCTATGGATATATAATATTAAAGAAAGTTGTCATCCTTATCTCATATTTATTTAAAGTCCATTCACTGTGATATTATTTCTATCTCCTTATATATTCACTATCCTATATATAGATATTGATCTCAATTAATGAAAATAAGTCCTGTGGGTCGCATATATTGACCTGCATATTCTTACGTTTCACCCATCATCACATAATTTTCATATTATGTATTTTTTATTAAGTAGATTTTTTCAAGCCATATACGAAAAACAAAAATGTTCTAAAAGTATTTAACATGAAAATCTGTCTTTTTTTCAAAATATTAGAAAAGGAATAAATGAATTGACCTGGTGACACAGTGGAACTTTACAATATTGCAAGAGTGTAAGTTATTGCCAAATTATCAAATAGAAGACACATTTTCCCAAGAATATCACCAATTACTCGTAAAATATGTTTTTCCAGAGCTATACAATCGATCTGAGGCTATTAAATGGTATGCGGCTGCGACTACAAAAGATTTTACATAATCCCTCATACTCAAAAGAAAATAAACCGCGTGACCTCGTTGACCAATACATATGTATGAAAAAAATTTTAAAATTAATTACTTACTTTATTAAAATTAATTTTAATAAACACTTTTGTTTGTTACTAATTATTTTAAAGCATTTTTTATTTGAACATCTGTGCCCATGGAAAAATTACAGATCGAACTTACATATGTTATTAAACTCTCATAACGTTTAAATAAAAAATTTTTGATGTACATACCAGTTTTGTCGCAATGACATGTTATATAAAATAACATAGAAAGAAATGCTATTTTAAAAAAAACCAAAATAGTTTCCTGATTCTGCACTCAAATTTTATAATTTGTCTCAGTTTTAATGTATATTAGAATACAAAGTTCTACAATTTTAAATCCTTTTAATTATATTTTATTAATCTTTCCACATTTTAAGTGACTTTTTTTTTTAACCAATTTGATTCTTATTATGGAGTTTTTGTAAGTTCTATATTTAACTAACATTAAAGCTTATCAATCGAAAAAATGCTTTTTTGAATAAGGGCTAACTTAAGTCGCACATGTTCTAATGACGGGACTAAATAAAATATACCAAAGAAAATTTCATGTCATGTATACATCACATTGTCAAAATATACATACATATAAATTCGTATAGCTACAAAAATACAAACATACAGATAATCTTCATGTATAGAAAAAATTCCTTCACTAAATTGTAATGAAAGTGAGTGATTTTAAGAAAATTCCACTTACATTTCCACTAAAATAAACGCCACAACATTAACGACAACATTAACAACGAGATAAAAAAAAAATTTACAAAAATATAGAAAAATCCCTTAAGGATCCAGAAAATTTCAGAAAATCTTAAAGAAGATATAGAAAAGTTACAAAGGAGCAAACATTTTTTTTTATACATACTTAAAATAAAAACAAAAACAAAGTCAAAATACAAAAACAAAAACAAATAAAAAACGAAAAATTTATTCCTCAGGGGCACAAAGTGAAAAACAATATTATTGACTCATTCTTAATGACCTGATAAGGTCCTTACAATTTTCTAACGAGCATTTTCCTTAAAGTATTTGTTAATTTAAGGGAAAAAGTATAAAAACCAAGTTTTATAAATTCTGTTACATAATATTAACAACAATCAACAGCATAAAATTACATTTTAAATGAAGTTTTGAAAGATTTATAACAGAATAATAAAAAGGACATTTGAAATATAGAGGAGAAAAATAAATAATTGATTGGATACTTCCTTTTTTAGAAATTATACTAAGTTTATTTATGTGTCGAATTTAACAATAGAAAACAAATAATTTTTAAAAGACTCAAGGTAATAATGGAAGAGCTCATCATTACATCTCAGTTCAAGAGATAAATTCAAAGAAGGAGTTACAAAGGAATAAATTTAGAAGACGTTCAGTTGAACATTATTTTTATTACAGTCATTTTTATCTCATAGTCTCAATATCGAAAAAATGTCCTATGCCCTAAATTTACCCAGTTATAATCATAAATGTATGTAGTAACATAATAACGGAATGATTAAGTTTTCCCATTTCAATATACGTACAGTGTACATCATACGAACGCACTTAAATTTGACACCGATGAAATCTTAGTAAAATTCTTTTGTCCTTCCTTTTTTGTTTTCTGTTCATCTTTTTTTTTTCATTTTGTTTCTCTATTTATGTAGGTCTATCCCTTCTACAACACACTTACATACATACATGTACATATATTTTATATATGTTTGTAGATACGTGCAACCGTATTCATATGTATGTATGTATATATTCATTCTTATGTTATGGGATATTTTCTATCACCTTTATTTTCTCTTTTGTTTTTGATGTTTTCTCTTTTTTTATTATTCTAATAATTATAACATAAAAACAATGTTAATAACTGTGTTAAGATTTTGTTAAAAAAAGAAGAAAAAAAAAAGTAATATGAAATATCCGTACAGATATTTGAGAAAGGACAACAATATTGTACGCATTTAAATCAGATTTTTTTTTTTATTTTCAGGTATAGTTATAATTTAAAATTAGGACATCATAGTAGATTTTAATAGGAAAGAATAACATGTTAAGAAAGTTTTCACAACTTTAGTCACAAGTTATTATTATAAATTTTTACGATTATTTTTATATATGTAATGTGTGTGAATGTATAACGACGATACTCAGAAGTAGAATATTGTTTTTTAGTTAGACGAAAAACTAATAAATACCTAAACTAACTAAATATGAATTTTTTTTTAATTCTTATAAGTTTAAAACAGAAATTTTAGATACGTTATGCTTAAAAAATGGTTCATATCTGAAATTTATTACGAAACATCTAAAAATTTGAATTTTTTTTTTAAAATCTACAATTTTTCGAATAAAAATTTCCTTTGAATGAGTCGATTGGTATGGGCACCTTGCATTGACCTGATATATTTGACTTGATATATGTACATATGTATGTATCAAAATTTAAAAAACCGTATCAGCTACTAATTAGGAAAGTAATTAAATCAGATTGGACAACTAGTTTAACTATAGGAAATTAAAAGTATAAAAATATTTACTGTTAGTTGTTTGCTTTTATTAAAGTTGAGAAGATTGTACAAATAATATTTTTCATTAAAATCAAAACTTATATCAAAAGCTATTTTGTGGTAGAAGCCAATCTCTTACTTTTTACGTTTGCAATATTTGAAAACTGGTAACTTTTCCGACGTAATTAATTGTCAAAAAATGGCATTTGCGGATTTTGAGAGGCACTAATATTTGAAAATTAAAGGAAAATAAAAATTTTCTTATAAAGAAATACGTTTTTCGCAAAGAACCATTTCGCATAAAAAATTTCGACTTTTTATATTACAAGTTGTAAAAGTTTTATGAACAGACGCACATTGGAGCACGGATTTTTTAATCAAACTAATTTCCATTTGGCTTTTTTTTATAAAATATTAAAAAATGTTTTAAATTACCTTAAAAAACCTATTAAAAAATTAAATTAAAAAAATATTTTTTAATTTAATAAACAAATTATTCGTTGTGAATTTGGTAAATTTCAACAGTAAAGATAAGGTCCGCTGTTCAAACAAACTTCTACTTATTGTCAATAAGCAGAGAACATAATTTTAAATGGTTAAAGTTCGAAAAACATTAATCACTTGAAATTACTCAATCACTTTTATATCATATTTAATTTGAACTTATTTTTATATTAAAAAAAAATATTGAATACTTTATTGTTACTGATAAAGTTTTATTAAAGCAATTGATTGCAACTGACAAGAAAAGAAGAATTTCTTTTGAATAATAAAATTGAAAAAACATAATAAAATATAAAAGAAAAAATTATTTTTCACCTATTCAATGAAAACCAAATGTTTATTTCTTTAATATTTTTTTTTACTTTGTAAATATTTTTAGCATAATTCACTTTTATTTTTCAACACGCTATCTTTGAAAGATCTTTCTCTTTTCATTCAATATTTTTATCAGAACTAATCGCAAAGCAAAACATAAAATTATTTTTATATAAGAAAAATTTTTTTTCCTGAAATATTTAATAAACGCGAAAACAAAACTGATTTTGCTATTCTTAAGAAGACAAGAGTTTTTTCTTTTTAATAATTCGAACAGTTGTTTATATTTTCAAATCGTAAAAAACAAATTCTTTAATATTTCAAAGACAAAAACCAAATTGTTTCCTTTCATTAAAATTTACGAGAATTAACCACATTTCAAAAATGAAACATGAAAAAGATTTAATTTGCAAACACACTTGCGGGCATAACTGCCCCCCTTTACAGCTCAAATTTTTTTTTTATAAATAACTACTTTTATAAATTAAAGATTATAAATTCGAAAAAATTAAATTTTCAAATATAATTACGCATATATACCATTTTTCATTTAAAATAAAATGCAATTATTTATTATAAAATTTATAAAATAAAAAACAAAGC